CTCTAAGGAGGCGCTGAGCCGAGACAGAAACGAAAAGAGTAAATCTGCAAATCTTACGAGTGAATAGCCGCTTTGTCACGCTTCACTTGCTCATCAAGATGTGGATGCATCATTTGATCGCTTGTCGACATCGGTCCACCTAGCTGGTACATGTTGTTGTAATATGGACCCATGTTCCCGGTGGGATCTGTCGGCACAGGATAGGATCCATCACCCGGCTGTGGAGCTGGAGGTCCGTAACCATCGCCGTACTGAAACTGACCTTTTGGAGAAAAGCGAAGAGAACAACAGGGAGATTCGCTTTGTGTGTTATCTCAGTTGGTCTGTACGCATCGATCCAATTTCCAAAAGGAGATGGGGAGATTTATGGACATGGTTGTTAAGGTGGAACGCAGTGAACGCAACTCTCATCACGACTATTAGATAAGATGCATTACTAACAACAGCTACATAGTATGAATGGTTGGCGATACGACAGAGATCTCGTCCTTTCAAACTTCCCACTTTTACGTCGCATTACATTGTTCAGGGAGCACTAAAGCACGGGACAGGTGAGAAACGGAGAAATGATGTGTAGGAGCAAGCGATGCGGCCGTTAAACCCGCATCAAAGTTATGACCTATTGAGCCGTCTTCCCTGACACTTATCTAAAATATAGGGAAAGACTAAGAACGCAATACGGGAAGGCGTTTGTGTGAGCGAATGGTTGTGGGAGAGAGACGCGACGACCCACAGACAGCGCGATAAATAACCGCATATATAACGATGATATTTCAAATCCATAACGACAAGTCGTAAATAGTGGAAAGAAAGGAGGAATTGGTAAATACCCTGTGGGCCATGCCTGTGGGGCCGACACGACGACGACGACAACGACGGGGCGGGGAGCCGAACTCTCCAGCGAAGGAACGCGGCTTGACGGATTACGACGGGCGCTAGCTTTGCGTTACGTGGCGCTCAGGGCCTTCGCTTCTTGTGAATACAGATGAATATGAGGTGACAGCTCTCTGACGACGTTTCCGCGGGCGCTTCGCAACA